ACACAATCAAGGATTTAGGAACAAACCAGGAATGATTGTTCTCTTAGTAGTATAAGTAATATAGTCACCACGAATATCTTAAATGTCCCCCAGGAACATCATGCAGATAATCTTTCCATCAGATCTTTCTTCTGTGCTTTTCTAAACCTTCCAGTGACCCTGTTCATTAGTTTCTCTGCCTATAGTGTTTCTTCTCACCGAATTTAGTTTTTTCCAAAACACTGTCTAATAACCAGAAAGCCTCCCCACACAAAAACTGTCCCAAAAACAAAGAAAGAAATGGTGAGAATCCTTCCAAACCTCTTTCAGCTTCTGCTGGCCCCTGAAATTCCTTGGTTCATGGCATCATGATTCTAATCTCTGCCTCCATTTCACATGAATTTCTTCCCTGTGTCTCTTTGTGTATTGTTTCCGTTCTATAAGGACACCAGTGACCAGATTTAGGGCCTCCTCAAAACTTTTAGCTCAATTACATCTGCAAAGACACTTTTCTAAACAAGGTCATAATTACAAGATCAGTGGGTTAGTACTCAGTCCTTTTTAGGGACTATTCAACCCACTATACAGGTTGATAAGGAGGGTGCCAAGACAATTCACCAGGAAAAGAATACCATTTTCAACAAACAGTGCTAGACAACTGCATATCCATATGCAAAAGAGTGAATTTAGGCATCTTTCTCATGCCATAAACAAATTTACTCAAATTAATTAGAGAACTAAATGTAAAAGCTAAAACTCTTAGAAGAAAATTAAAATCTTTGCTCACTGGATTCAATAAAGGTTCCTTAGATATGGTTCCAAAGCACAAAGTAAAAGGTGACTTCATCCAAGTTAATTATGTCTTTTGCCCAAAGGACAACATTCAGAAACAGGAAAACCCACACTCCTAGAGAAAACATCTTAAAATCATATGTCTGGTAAAGGACCTTGTCCAGAAAAAGAAAAGAACTCTCACTACTCAACAATAGGAAAACTCAACTTAAAAGATGGGCAAGAGATCTACCAAATTCCACACTAAAGAAGATATGCAAATGTCAAAGAAACATATGAAAAGATGCCCAACATCGTATGTCATTAGGGGGTTGTAAATCAAAACAAGAATGACATGCCATGACATACCTTCTAGAATGCTAAAATTAAAAACTGATCATGCGAAGGTTTGGCATTTTTGTGTAACAACTGGAACTCTCCTACACTGATAATGGGAATGTGAAATGCTAAAGGCCCATTGGAAAATAGTTTGACAGGTTCTTTAAAAGTCAGAGGTACACCTCACTTATCAACTAACCGTTTCATTTCATCCCAAATATTTACCCAAGAGAAATGACAGAATATTTGCATACAAATCCAATACACGACTTTTCATAGAAGCTTTATTTGTAATAGTCACAAACTGGGAAGACCTCATAGGTCCACTAACATCGGCATACTACTCAGAAGTAAAAAGGAATGAACTACTGACACACATGAAAGCAAGGATAAATTTGAAATCCACATTTAGTGATAGAAACCAGACACCCGACCCCCAAAAAAATCCCTGCATTACTGTATTATTTAAACTTCTACAAGAAAACAAACTAATCTCTAGTGGCAGAAAGTGTATCAGGGTTTGACTGAGAAACGGAGGAGTGCAGAGCGTGAGGTCACAGGGGGCCACGGGGATGAACGAGGATGAGCAAGGACCCTTTGGGAGTGATGGGCATGTTCACTCCTCTGTGTTAAAGTTTTCAGATGAGTGTATGTACACTAAAACCTACCAAATCATACACTTTAACTATTTGTAAGTTTTGCATGTTGATTTTCTTTCAATAAAGCATTAAGAAAAATAAGAAAATGAAATAACCTGTTAGTTCTCCTCTTTTCTCTGAGGACTTTGGCCCAGAACAGTCTTTGTTATTTATTTTGCTTTTTCCAAATATAATTACTGTAAAGATTCATTCATGACTTTGAGTGTAAATCACCGAGGATCTCTTGTTTATTCATTAATCTGCAGCTGGAGCAAACTACAAAAAAAAAGTCGAAGTTTGTATTGCTCAAACCTCTGTTCCTACACAGAGACACTGAAATGCCGGCTCTTTCAAAGAGAAGAGGGTTTCTGCATTCGACTGCCATTAGGATCATGTTTCCATCTTTTAAGAAAATATTCTTTGACTTTCACGAGAAAATCAGTCTAATTTGTTGGGGCCCTTTTTTTGGTCGCAGAGAGCTTTTTTTGGTTTAGAGAACCTATAAGTGAGAATATGAGTGTATAAGCAAATGTAAAAGAAGTTTACATGAAAATTTATCAAATTTACCATTTTTAGCTAAGTTCCTTTAAGAATTACTATATTTAAACAACTTGCTGAAGTTACCATTGACTGAGAGAAAAGTATGAAAAGTTTTGCAACATTAATAATATTTTCCTTTGTGAAATTTTAGCTACATTTTTCTCTGAGAGAAAAAGATTTCACCTACCTACATCATAATCAGATAAATGAGATATATGTTATAACCCAGATATTTTGTAAAGCCTCTAAAATGTACATGAGATGTCATAAGTGTAAATAGATGGGTTTTTAATTAGGAATCCTAATATAAGGAATGCCCAGAAACTATGTCAGTTACATCATTAACCCCAGTTGTAAAAGACAAGCACCCATTGCATGTGTGTGAGTGTATTTGTGCATGTATGCACATGTGTTTCTATTTCTTCCTTCATCACTGCAAAAGACAGGCTGTATAAGATCATTCATTAGAAATCTCTGCCTCCTTTCAAATATTCATTGTAAGATAAACAGAAATCAGTTTTTATATGTCATTGTCAATTAGTTTATTGAATTGCACCTTATAGTACTGTGTAATATATTGTAAAAAAAAAATTTTGAGCTTTGAGCAACGCCTATGCCCATAGCAGGTTGACTTGAGTAAGATTATGTAGTGATGCATACGCAACTTGAGAGAGAAGGAGAAAGGATGACAGAAGAGTGGGTGGACTGCAACAGTCTTCTCCACTACTTCTGAGTTTATTCACTACTTCTCAATTTATTCTAATACATATGTTTAATATGTCCCAACATTCCCTGGAAGGTTATAGTTTTCAGGCAAGCCATGCGCCATGGTCAGCACTGCTTCCCCGGAACGAGGACTGCCACCCTGTGGTTTTAAAAGTATGAACTGGGTGAACTAGTAGATGCGATGCTCTTCCTACTTCAGTATGCATAAAGTACAGGAAAAAAGCAATAAAAGCAAACTATTTACAAATAAATTGTGGTTTCAAAGGGATTTTTTTTTTTTACTTATTGATAGGGGATTATAAGCACTGAAACACTATTTGAAAATTAAAACATTCAAACCCCCACTATAGAAACTAATTCTTGATGTCTGAGAAAGTTACTGTGGAGCAGTTTTTGACATAAACCCAAAAATCCATTTAACATTGTATTAATGGATAACAGTGAAGATGGAAACACAGTCAATAAAAATACAATTACTTTTTAGAAAAAGCAAGAAACAGAAAGCAATTACAATTCTTGTCACAATTGTAAAGATCACTTCACAATATGACTTAATAAAAATAGCTCTTTTTTTAAAAACAGCAAAGAAATGCACAATTTTCTAGTAATGGAGTCATAGATAAGAAAATTCAATAAGCATATTCAGTGAAAGAGCAATATGAATTTAAGTCCAAATATGAAGAAAGTACCTTTGTGCATGCTTGGTAAATTCAGGATGTGTAAATTTATTCAGTAAGTATTCTTTAGACATTGACAATATACATGGGACTGTATTGTCATTACTGTCACAGTGAGAGAGACATAATCCCCAAAAATACATTCTCTGGCTAAACATGATGTAGTGGCAAGCTTTGTTATTGGAGCCCAGGACTGGGTGTGTTGGCTAAGATAGTCATCAGAATCGCAGAAACCTTCCCAGGGGAAGTGATGCTTCACCTAAAAACCAGTGATGTTTGGGGAATATAGGATAAAGTACACAAGAGAAGTGCTCACTGTGATACCTGCCACAGAACACATGGTCGACAAATGGAGCCTGGTAAGCACACAGGATAAGAGGGAAGGTGACCTACCACGGGAAAACCATGACTTCTGTTTTAGGAACATTGAGATGGTCATGCATGTGATGCATACAAGCAGATATGTTTGGTAGGTGGTTCAATATATAAGTAGATATGTTTGGTAGTCAATTCAGTATGTTAGAAATTACTCCTTACTAGAAACAGAAATTAAGTGTTCATTAAGTGACAGATGTAATATAAAATTATAGGAATTGTGCAAAAAACAGTGAGAGATTGTATAGTCATAAATGAACAGGAAATAATAGGTCCAAGGAATTGAAACAGGCAACAATATAATATAAAAATACCACATGGGTAATTTTTAACTGAATTTGCCAAAGTAACAAAAACTTGACAAATTTGTTATGAATTTGTCCTAAACATAGATGCAAAAAATGTGTTTAAAACAGTATATTCTGCATAACAGCTTGCACACTGATAGAGAATTGTAGAAGGAAGAAGAAGGAAGCATCCATGTGCTCCATGAATGTTTAGCCTTGTTCATAAGACAAAAAAAAATACACTTATCTGAAAGAGGAAAAATGGAAGAAAGATAGAGGAAAGAAGGCAGGAAGGAAGAAGCTTATTACAGAGTTGGAATAGAAGCTCCAAGTTCTGATCAAGACTCTAGAATAAGTCTACTTACATATCATGTATAATCATTTTCACTAAGACTGAACTGTTAACCAAAAGTATAACAATATGGTGATTTTTTAATTTAGCTCTGAATAGGGAAGAATTTGGAGGAGTCAAATGATATTTTTTTCTACCCATAAAAGCACACCAAAGTAGCAGTTCAACTTAGTTATATCCACAGTATGATTTAAAATATAATGTGAAAATATAGTGAAGGTAATATTGATACAATCGAATTTTACACAGATAATATAACCTGGATAATGATCTCTCTGAATTGTTGGTCATGCAGATTGGACAGAAGCCACTAGTGATGAAAAACTATACAGTAACAACATTCATTCTGCTGGGACTGACAGATGACCCTGATATGCAGGTCCTGATTTTTGTCTTTCTATTTCTCACCTACACACTGAGTGTGACTGGAAACCTGACCATCCTCACACTCACCTTTGTGGATCCGCACCTTAAAACAGCCATGTACTTTTTTTTGCAAAATTTCTCCTTCTTAGAGATCTCATTCACAACTGCTTGCATTCCCAGGTACTTATATGACATAGCAACAGGTGACAAGGTCATTGCCTATAAGGCTTGTGTCGTTCAAGTGTTTTTTACTGACCTCTTTGCAGTAACAGAATTTTTTCTGCTGGCTGCTATGTCCTATGACCGCTATGTGGCCATTTGCAAACCATTGCATTATGTGACCATCATGAGCAGCAGGGTCTGCAAGAGACTTGTTTTTTGCTGTTGGCTGGCTGGATTGTTAGTCATAACCTCCCCACTTAGTCTGGGGCTAAATCTGAAATTCTGTGACTCAAACGCCATTGATCATTTTCTCTGTGACGCCTCTCCCCTAATGAAGATATCATGTTCAGACACAAGGTTCATGGAACAAACTGTTTTACTTTGTGCTTTGCTGACCCTTATTGTGACCCTTATATGTGTAGTTCTGTCCTATGCTTATATTACCAAGACAATTTTAGGATTTCCTTCTGCCCAGCAAAGAAAAAAGGCCTTTTCCACCTGTTCTTCCCACATGGTTGTGGTTTCCATCACCTATGGCACCTGCATGTTCATTTACATGAATCCTGCATCCAAAGAGGAAGTGACTATTAACAAAGTGGTTTCACTGCTCATTTCTTCCATTTCACCTACCCTAAATCCATTTATTTATACACTGAGAAATAAGCAAGTGAAGAAAGCCTTCAAGGACTCAGTCAAAAGAATTTTGTCATTCTTAAAAAATAAAATAGCACTGAATAAAAAGAGTTAAAATAAAAGGTCAGTGTCTTTCAAACCTTTCTATTGAAGTTTATTACATTTATCTTTTAATAATCTATATTTCAATTGTTATACTCTGCAGTTCCTCTTTAGATTTACTTACATTGTACCTTATTCAACTCATTTCTTCCCTTTGCTTTTTAATCCACCTCTTGTAGGAGATTTGTCTCAGTAAAGAAAATGGAAGCATACTTGTCATAAATTCATTTTAGATATACATGACCCCATGTAACTTAATTTTATAACATAATAAAAAACAGTTTCTCATGACACTGGTAACTTATTAGTGAAATAAGTAAATGATCACTCAAATGTTCATAAAATAGTACAAATATTCAAATAAGAATTGAAATTTTATGATAAAATACTGAACGGAATAAATGAGGGCATTAGGAACCATTGAGAGAGAAGATAGTGGTATCTCTAATGCTCCAGAAAAACGCACAAAAAAAATATGCTAGATAAAATCTCACAAATATTCTTTTGAATATACAGGTAAGCGTAAAGGTTAAAATGTAGGCAATCATAAGGTATCAGAAACAGAATTATTAGAAATGAGGATAAAAAGCCTCATCTATTATCTGTGGATTCCCAAGAAAGGAAACGTTGGGGAGGAGTAAGTTGTTGACTTATGGGTTACAGGGACTTGAGCTGAATGTCCACATGGAGGTGGGAGGTGAAGTGTCAGGATCCACGTGGTGAAAGCACATAAAACTAATAGGATAAAATAAATTCAAGAGTTTAAAAGTGTGATTTAGGCGGAAATAACTGTCCACTCTCATGAAAAAACAATTTCCTCTAAGAAAGTTTTCTCTCTTTCTTGAGTTACAAACTGTGGATGAGAAAGTGGGAAACATTATGATGTACTACTGTCTATTTAAAATGGGGCTTTATACTCCAAATTGTATAAAAATAATTTACTAATGCTACAAATAAAGAATTAAATAATGAATCCAAATATAAATCTCTGGAAGTTATAAAATATATATGGAATGAGATAGAGATACTTCATAACAATGCATATAAAACATAAAAAAGCTATACACAGAAGAAATAAAAAATTATGCAAACATTCATGTATCCAATTATTTTATAAAATAATAGAACCAGAAATAAAGCAATTCCTGCTCATCATAAAATTTTTAAAACCCATAAAATTAATCCAAAATATGTAGAATATGGATTTTACTAATGATAGAAAATAAAATTTTAAAATACAGAAAATCTAAAAGTTGATTCTTTTAAAAATGTCAAGAAAATTGATAAATTTCTATCAAACACGAATGAATATGAACAAAGCGCAACATATTTAAACTTAAAAATCAGAAAGAAGACATAAACACTAGTTCAGTAGAAAATTAGAAAAACTTTATGGATGGCTTATACTATCATGATTCCACAACAACAAAATAGGTAGACCTACAGCTAATGAACAAGGTTTTAAAAATTCATCAAGATGTGGAAAACTTAAACATCAATTTCCATATATTTGGGAAGACAAGATTAACCATTCATGAGGCAAAGGACCAGACTACTTTACAGTGAACCATGGTAAACAATAGATAATCTCATCATGACTTCAGTTATCCAAACAAAAAAAAATTCTCCCTAATGAATTTTATGAAGACATCTTAATGTTTTAACAAAAATACCATTAAGACATTATAAGCCAAACTATTAAAGTACCCTGATGAGTATGGGTGACTATTTCAAACAGAACCCAACAAATAGCCAAAACTTACACTATGATCAGTTAAGATTTACTCTAATTATACAAGGGCAAAGATAGATCATATAGATTGATAAATTATAGATTATAGGCAGGTGACTGATGATAGATAAATGTATATGTATTTGTATATAAATATATATATATATATGAATTTCAGCCTGATTTTATTGTAATAACAAATTAAAGAAAGAACATTATATGATTTTGATTAATAAGTTCAAACTATCAATGGATAAAAATCAGCAATTGATCCTAAAAATTTCAAATAAAATGAGATTTTGATGAGCTATTAAAGTGAGATTAAAAATATAAAGAAATACAATTTACACAACTATTTTAAACAATAAAACATTTGTACTTAATTAAAATCAGGAAACTAATTAAGATGCTCACTTTTATCACTGGTATTCCACATCCAACTGCAATATTTAAAATGCAATAATGTATATAATAAAATAATTGAGATTATTATCAGAATGAAGTTATGAAATTACCCTTTTTAGAGGATCTGCAAGCCATTTATTTTCAAATTTTTAAATCTTTGAAATATAGATGTGCCTTATGAGTGGCATCTTAATGTTGTGTATATTTAACTGGCAATGTTTTTATATTAAAATACATAAAATTATAACATGCACTTAAATGGAGTCAAGGAAATATGTTATTTAACTCCTGAAAACATTATGTACCTAGAAAACAACAAAACCTAATAGGAAATTAATACACCTAATAAGAAAATTAAGTAACTTGAATGAATAAAGGGCATATTCAAACAAACATAGGTTGACAATATTTATTTTGTTTGTGTGTGAATAGAAAGTAAAACTTTCTTATTTCAGTTTTCTTGGTATCTAAAGCAATTATTAAATAAAAAGCAGTTTTCCTACTAACTTAAAATTTTCCCATGTTTACATAAGTAGCAATATAAGCCCCTACACGTAAAAGGTATCAATATGACTGCCGGAGAATAAATCACATTATGGATGCAACTATATTATAAATATCAATTTGCTCACTCAATATATAAATTTAACAAAACTGTAATTAGAATAAACTTTTAAAATTTTTCTAATTTTATAAATTATCTCTGAGTTACTATGGAAAAATAAATCTCATGAATGTACAACACATACATGAAAAATGAGTATTACTGAACAGAAACTTGTTTATATAATACCAAAAGTTATCTTAATCAATTAAATCAAATTTGGTGTTGGCATAGGAGAACATAAAATAATCAGTAGAACAGCTTAGATTATGAAAGTATATATTAAGAAATGGCTCTTATTTTATACAAAGGTTTATTTTGCTAGTTATGCAAAAGTGGTATAGTTTTAGTTTAGTAGGAAAATTATGTTTTTTAAATAACCTTAAGTCACAAAAGAAAACACAGAAATGATAGTTTTACTTTTTATGCACACAAAAACAGCTTATACTCTAAATGGTTTAAAATTTTTAATATAAAAATACACAAGCAAAACCTTACTAGAAAACATATGATACCACAATAACATAAAGGAATCAGAAATTATCCTACTTAAGAATTTAAAATGAGAAAGTGACAGAAGAAAGGGTACCCATTTAACAATATGTACATTAACCATTTTGACTGACAAGACACCACTAAAATTTTTATAAGTGAAAAAATACTGTTGAATTGTATAACCCTGACAGACAGTGAGATGGTTTCTAAAGTATACAAGTTCTTTTAAAAGAACAATGAAAATTGAAAAAAAATCTAAGTAAAAATAAGCAAAAAATAGAAACAAGCAAAAAGGTATAACAATTGTATATATGTACACAGCCAAGAGAGAAACACCTAATATATAAAACAAATATTCATAGACACAAAGGGAGAAATTGAGAGTAATACAACAATAATGAGGACTTTACCACCCAACTTTACATCAACGAATACATCTTCCAGACAGAAAATCAATAAGAAAACTGTGACTTTATTTGCAATAACCTGGATGGACCTAGAGAATATTTTTCTCAGTGATTTAAGCCAGGAGGAGAAAGAAAAATATCATATGAAATCACTTATATGTAGAGACTGAAAACAAAACAAAATAAAATGAACAGAACAGCAGTAGACTCATGGACACTAATTAAAAGGTATCAATATGACTGCCGGAGAATAAATCACATTATGGATGCAACTATATTATAAATATCAATTTGCTCACTCAATATATAAATTTAACAAAACTGTAATTAGAATAAACTTTTAAAATTTTTCTAATTTTATAAATTATCTCTGAGTTACTATGGAAAAATAAATCTCATGAATGTACAACACATACATGAAAAATGAGTATTACTGAACAGAAACTTGTTTATATAATACCAAAAGTTATCTTAATCAATTAAATCAAATTTGGTGTTGGCATAGGAGAACATAAAATAATCAGTAGAACAGCTTAGATTATGAAAGTATATATTAAGAAATGGCTCTTATTTTATACAAAGGTTTATTTTGCTAGTTATGCAAAAGTGGTATAGTTTTAGTTTAGTAGGAAAATTATGTTTTTTAAATAACCTTAAGTCACAAAAGAAAACACAGAAATGATAGTTTTACTTTTTATGCACACAAAAACAGCTTATACTCTAAATGGTTTAAAATTTTTAATATAAAAATACACAAGCAAAACCTTACTAGAAAACATATGATACCACAATAACATAAAGGAATCAGAAATTATCCTACTTAAGAATTTAAAATGAGAAAGTGACAGAAGAAAGGGTACCCATTTAACAATATGTACATTAACCATTTTGACTGACAAGACACCACTAAAATTTTTATAAGTGAAAAAATACTGTTGAATTGTATAACCCTGACAGACAGTGAGATGGTTTCTAAAGTATACAAGTTCTTTTAAAAGAACAATGAAAATTGAAAAAAAATCTAAGTAAAAATAAGCAAAAAATAGAAACAAGCAAAAAGGTATAACAATTGTATATATGTACACAGCCAAGAGAGAAACACCTAATATATAAAACAAATATTCATAGACACAAAGGGAGAAATTGAGAGTAATACAACAATAATGAGGACTTTACCACCCAACTTTACATCAACGAATACATCTTCCAGACAGAAAATCAATAAGAAAACTGTGACTTTATTTGCAATAACCTGGATGGACCTAGAGAATATTTTTCTCAGTGATTTAAGCCAGGAGGAGAAAGAAAAATATCATATGAAATCACTTATATGTAGAGACTGAAAACAAAACAAAATAAAATGAACAGAA